GGGAACACAAACAAGTATTAGCAGAAGGAAGTAGGGCCATTTATTCCTTTAACACTGGGACAAAGACTTTCGCTCACAGCTGTGGCGGTGTCTGAGGTTTCTGACAAGGCTTTGGGCTAATTACCTCACTCCTAAATGAAGGCAGAAAGATACAAATTAAGCAAATAGTGAAGGTTGTTTATCTAACCCAAGAAATGTTTAAAAACCTACATTTTTATGGAGGTGGGGCTGTTGATCTGTTAGAGATTAACAAGTCGAAAATACAGTATTTACATAAACAAGACTGATGTGATCAATATATTTGCACCAAGTCTTATTGATGTGCTAACATATAAAGTATAGATAGATAGATAGATAGATAGATAGATAGATAGATTCTAATTAGGCCTTTGTAACAACAATACTATGGATGGCAGTTATACTTAATTTATATATATATAGGGTGAGGGTGAAATATGAAAAAAGACAGAAAAGACAAAAAAAAGAGCAGGAAAAGGCAAAACACCTGACATGATTCTCCCGCTGCTGTTTTATCATGTATCTCTGATCCTCCAAAATTCTCCCATCACTTACGTTTTCCTCTATACTTCTATTAAATCCTTACATATCTTGCATGGACTGCAACCAGAGCACATCTCACATCGCACCTTGCTTCCACTGCAGGACCTGCCTGGCCTCACAAACAGGTGGAAAAAAAGATAAAGAAGGGAGTGAGAGAGACGGGGAGAGAGGGGGAGGGAGGTAGACGCTTTGCAAATAGGCTTCGTTTTTCCAGCACAGACTAATGACATAAGCTGTAGGGCAATCGAGAGGCTGCGTTCTAGAAATCCTTCACCCAAACAACTACTCAGTGATAAGAGGCCGCTGTAGAGCAGGTGGACGCATCTCTACGGGCGCTTTTAACAGTTGACTCCTACATATAACGGCGCACGGGAGAGAATTAGGCATTAAGGAATTACCATAAGAGACTGGTGTAATTAGACAAATGAAAGAACACTTTCACTGCTTACACAAACAATGGTGCCCGTGTGTAGGATCATTACGTGTTAGAGCGCTACGTGTTGAAGACGTGATGACTGGCGCTTCTGTGCATTAAAGATGTTCAGTGACGTGATGGGAGCTAAAAATAACCTCTGAATTATTCATACAGCTGTCATGAAACAATCTGTTGAGCAATTAACATACATGTGTGGCTTCCAGAACATAAGCCCCACAACAAACACTGACAAAAAGATGCAAATGGAAATCGACTTTGAAAATCACTCAAATCATGTGGCATCGATCGCTCGTTATGCAGATGTCTGACCAAAGGACCAAAGGCTACGTTCCATTTAATTTATACCATCAAATCTGAACAGCTCACTAATGTTACTTCGGTATAAACATGTGTCAAAAGATCTATAAGAACACTTGACTTCGGAAGAAATATATATATCAAAATATGGGGAAAATACGGTAAAACAGCAAAAAGACCACAAGCAAAAGTCAACTGGTGCTAGAGTAAGAGTAAAATCTGTAGTTTTTCACCCATATGGGGAAAATACGGTAAAACAGCAAGCAAAAGTCAACTGGTGCTAGAGCAACTGGGTTGTTTGGACTCAAATGGAAGGCACAAATGTACAAATAAATGTCGCCAGAAATAAACAAATTTTTTTCTCGAGATGAGGTGATGAAGAAAGTACAAAGTGGGAGTCCACATGGGAGTGTTAAGGGAGGGCGGGGCACATAGCTGTGCACAGCCTCCGTATGACAGGTGTGTATTTTCACACACTGCGTCCCTCTGGGATCGGTTCATTCCACATGTGGACGAGCAGGTGTTAATGCACACAGAAGTGATGAGGCTGTGAAAACAGAAGAGAGGCGAGGATCCCCTCCCCTACCTCCAATTACAACTGCACATCCGTGTGTTGTTTCACAACTTTAATTGGTCATGTGACCTGCTCCTGTTCACAGCTGTGTGTGTAGCCGGTGTTTGTTGGAAGGCAGGAAGAAATCTTTGATGGATGGAAGGAGAGTGGGGGGAAGGAAAGCGTGAGAGAAGCAAAAAGATGTATGTGAAGGATAAGCACAGCTGACATCAGGGCCCCAATTAGAGGCCAACAAGTCGGGGTTCTACAGCCGAGGAAGAGATGAAGCAGCCGCATCCTGAAGCCCACTAGGATGACTGGCTGTGGGTTTTGTGTACAGTGACGAATCATATGTCAGGGATGAGGTGTCAGCAGGGCAGTAGGGTAATACAAATGTGAGAAGTAAATAGTTTACAAATTGAAGTGAGTAGAAATATGCAAAAAACCAGTGGGAGGAAAAAAAATGCATTGACTTCTTGCATGTAATACATGCTAAAAATGTTTTATAGTGTTTATCTCTCTTTGCTTTTTATTTCAGAATGTCTTATTTTCATAGTGAATGAAAAACATTTTAGTTCTAAAAGACATGTGAAAACATGCATTCCTAATGTATGTTGTTCATTTAAAAACACAAACAAACATGTGGGTCGCAGGCTGCAGGCTGGTGGCCACTGTAAGCAAAGCAGGGTTGCAGAGTTGCATTTTGGGAAATTGCCTTTCTTCTATATCAGTCATGCTTGTCTTTGTGCAGCTTTCACGACCAGTCCCTGCCTTCCGCCTTATTGACAGGCCATTAAACACCAGGCTGCGATCAGGCGCTATCATTTTATGTACTTGTGCATACAAGCACTCCAGAGGAGGTAATGGAAGGAAACTGTTTGTGTGAGATACTGACTGTGTTTGTCAGTGAGCGATAGAAGGAAAGAGACAGTGAGAGAGTGATGAAGTGAAGCAAATTAGGGTGAAGTGACGCAGAAAAACACTGAGAATACGATGAAACTTAGCTGCTTTTCATCCCCACAGTTTGGACCACTTAATCTATTATGATTATAAATCACTGCAGGCACACACACACACACAGACACTCATAAACACACCCACAAATGGATAAAAATTAAGATTTTTTTAAATTAAGCCCCACAACCTGCAACAGCCTTAATACTTAATCATTTCTTTTGTATATTGTAGTAACTGTTGCCTTATTTCACATTCACTGCTTTGGCAAGATGATCATTTTCAACCAAAGTCCAGACAATGCTACTTTAGCAGAGATATACATATTTTTTTGATTCTGCACTATTTCAATACAGATTTTATTTTGGGTGTCCAAGGAAAGTGAGTGCCAACAAAAAACAATTTCACAGGCTTCAGTGCCATACCGAGCCAGAAAAGCAGGTGGCAGGATTAAAGTACGCCCGCTGTACTGGTGGCATCTCCACACTAACTATAGCACAGTTCTGAGTTCTGCTAAAGCCCAAAATAAATGAAGCCTGATTCTAACAGACAAACAAGAGATATTCAGTAGAAAGTAAGAGGCAGCGGGTGAAACTGAGGAGAGAAGTGTAAAGAATTATGAAAGAAAATTAAACGTTCCGTCCTAAAGCTACCATTTAACCTCAGACTCTATTGTTGACCTCCTGTCTGGACAAATTTGACTTTGATTCATTATCCAAACTGATGTGAACACAGGGATGTGTCCATCCACTGCAACTCTAAATCAAGCCTGTTCTTTGTCAGTCCCTGAACTGACCTAATGTCCTCATGAAATGTGTTGCTGCCTGAGGAGACACACAGAAATGTATGTTTCCACTGTGTTATCTTCAAACTTGAGAAGCAATTTAATTTGGTAAACCACCCACTCTCCTGCACCAAGACCCACACAGAACAGCAGTAGTATCTGTCTTAAAGACACAGTAACTGCTGGTGGACTGCTTTTCGGTTATCTTCAGTAAGGTCAAAACAGTCCTATTTGACCCATTAGCAAAACAAAGCGTAAATTGTCAATATAGTTGCTCCTAGCATGAATATTTTTTATTCATTGGGCTGCAGTTCAGATAATATATTTTAACCGTTTTAATTATAGTGTGCCTTTAACTCGTCCCTGACAGTATGATGTTTGTACTTTGGTATATCACTTCAGAACAACTCACTGTCAATGCAGTACCAATCTGCAGTGGTATTTTAACGCTTCTTTGGTTGAATTAATTATGCCTGTATCATACCTTCTTTGCTTACAGCGTCTACCTATGAATAAATAAATACGTGTGGCAATGAATGAGCTGTGTTGTAGCTGAAACAGGCGGTACAGCAGAGGACTGTTACTTATTGACAAACAGCGTCAGTGCAGTTTGTTGTGTTCACATCCACATATGGATGACAGAAATCAGATGCTGCCATAACCTGACATCTGTATCTTCCTGCTTTTTCATCTCCATCTGCTGTCAGTTTTCACTTTACCAATGACAAAAGGGTTGTGGCTGTGAACAAACACTGCCTGCGATCTGCAACGGTGTGGTATATATTCTGCACTCACTCCCTCTCAACTCCCACGGATAACAGTTTGACTTTTTTTTCTTTCGCTGCTCCCTATGTTTCATTTTGTAACTGATATTTGTGTTGTTCATTGCATTAGCAACAACCGACCATTTACATTATACTCATACCGGTGGATACTATCGAGTTTAAAATTAACCTGGAGAAAACCCATGCACACACACTCGGACAACATCCGAACTCTATGCAGAAACCACTGACAGACAGGCCTGCTAAACACTTTGTCACTCAATACTGTGTCACTCCAAAAAGAACATTACCCAATTTAATTAATGTGTGTAAGAATTGTTAGTTAAGACCAACAGGGGGATAATACTAGTGTTCAAACGACATAAATAAATGTAATGAGCTGTAGCATCAACTTTAGTAAATATAGGTCTTAACAGTCCAAATATAGTTCAAACAGTTTATCTCCCCCTACTGCCCAAAGACAGCTCTGCTTCCCCAAATTACACTACCATCACTGTCAGACGGGAACAGTTGTACTGATATAGGCATTAAATTTAAGCTAAGTGGTTACCCTAACTTTTAAACTAACTAACAGTTGTCCTAAACACCCATTGGAGATGTGTATCATGAGAACAGCTGGTCTCTACTCACCTCTCTGCACAAGCATGGTGACCTCGCTGCCTTTGGGACATTTGCTGAGCAGGTCGACCACCTGGTTGTGAGACATGCTCTGGACATTCCGTTTGTTCACCTCCATGATGATGTCGCCCTCCTTGAGGCCGCGGCAGCGAGGGTAGTCTACGATCTGCTTCACCCTCTGCCCTCCGCCGCCTGGACTGTCGGCTATGGTGAACCCGAAGCCTTTGTCCCCTTTCTCCATATGGACAGTGATGAGCTCTGGTTGTGTGGCAATAGACGAGGCCAGAGTGACCACGTCACTGGGGTAGCCATGTTGGGAAGAGGTATCGGAGGCCACCTCAGCTGAGGGGCTGTGTGGCCGCGGAAGGCCGTTCAGTGGGACGCCGCCGTTCGTGGAGCCGTTGTTGTTGTTCTGGCTGCCATGGCTGGATGGCGAGTCGTAGCTGTTGGTGGCTTCTTGGCCGTTGACGATGATGGGATCTTTGTTTTCTAAGATGGCCACCGAGGTTACCAAGCTGGTGTTGGGATCATCGGGGTCAAAGGGCAGTGGGTAGCCACGGCAGAGCTCTAGGTTGACCATGGAGCCAATGGGGATAGACTGGAAGATCTTTACGACTTGGGCATGGGTGTAGCCCAGGACACAGGTGTCATTGACACTGACAATCACATCACCTTTAAAAGTGGGAGGAAGGCAAAGGATAAAACTGTAAACAGGCTAAGATACTGCCTTAAAAAATACTTTGATTAGATTTACCTAAATTGTAATATTCATCAAACAGTTGTAATATAATCTTTCAAAGGTAAAAGATGCAAAACTAGTACATAATAAATCAGTCATTACTGAGTCATTTTTATTAAGCTACCAACATGGTGAAGTTGTTCATCCACCTGTTTTGTTCACATGTAACTATACTCCCACACACTGCATGTCACTGAGAATAAACAGAAACACTTCCAATTCACCAACCTGTCTCCATCTTGCCGTCCAGGGCTGCAGGTCCATCCAACACTAGGCTCTTTATCTGCAGGAATTCGTCCGGTTCATCACCTCCAACGACAGTGAAGCCAAACCCTCTACGACTCTTTTTCAGCTTGGTGTTGATAAAAGTCCCCTTAAGCTCTGATCTGTTCCGAGTGAAGAAAGGCTTTCCACCTGAATAACACAAACACAGAGAATCGTTTTTTCCCAAGCCGTCAAGTCAAATATTTATTATTTTTTATCTCATTGCTGTGACTTAATCATAATTGATCATGATTTATCAAGATAAATCAAGATTCAGTACAGTATTCATCGTTTGCCCACTTTGTAAAATGCATAAAGAATTATTAAATAATTGACACTTAACAATTAACACTTTCCTTGTTTTTATACCATTCACTTAAAAAGGACGTCAGGAGTGTTGAACTGCTGACTGGACCAATCACAACAACAACAGCTGCCTCTAACTCTAGAGATGACAGGTGATTTGAATTAGAGAGACACCATATGTTTAATGATGACATCAAGTACCAGGTAAATGGGTTTTTTTTTCAGTTTGAAAGCTGCTTATGTCCTGATAAAGGGCTTTTGACAACAACAAGACAAATATTTAATACAACAGTGGTTACGACTGCAGTTTAATGAACACATTTCCCTAGTCTGAAGCCAGGAAAATTACTTAAACGGAGCAATTTAAACCCAATTAGTCAGGCTTCCTCTCTGTCCTCTTGATTTCTATGCCTCATTATGTAGCATTAAGAACAAAGGGAAGGAGTGATATGCAATAGTCTTCAATCAAGGACTGGAGTGAGACAATCAAAAGACTGAGAAAATGAATTCTTATCAATCAACATGTAAGGATGTAGGGCCGGGGGGGAACATATGATAAAAATGATTTAGATGAAAATGAGATAAGAATTTGCAGAAGGCATAAGGAGATAATGAAAATGATGGAATAAGGTGATGAAGAAGAGGAGACCCAAGAGGAGATTGATCAAGGGTTAGAAACCATTAGCGTGAGATCAGTAGTGTTTGTCAATACACACACTTGTCAATAGTCTCATTTGTAGTTCTCAATAACTTGAGACCAAGTTATTGAGCACATATGTCCCTCTTTGTTCACCCCAGCAGGAGGGGCCTTTGGTTACAACCAAACATTCATTGTAAAAGGTTATTAATGATTTATTTATAAAGTGGACAACAGCCTTTGTAAAACAACATTAAGTTCAAGCATCAGCACCGGCTTCACTAAGTTATCGTCACTGCCCTGAGACTTGCCGAGGTTAGGTAGTAATAAGGTCGACAGCACAGTGCTGGAACTGTTCTATTATCCATTGGTATTCAGTAGCTAAGTGTAAGACTGCACATGCAAACATCGACTGGACATGGTCATTAAATTAAGCCACAAAACCAGTACGGTAAGGTGCAGCATTTCAATTTTGACGGAGCTGCAAGCATTTGAACATGGTTTTCAGGATCACCACAGAGCCTCCACTCTCTCTCCCTCCGGCCTCAGTTTGTTTTGGTGTATACTGTATAACTAAGGTACAGGACGCTCTGAATATTCAGCTCCTTCACAAATTCAGGGTGCAGAGTGCTTCAGATACACCCAGGCTTTCATTTAGAAATATAATATCATGCTAACACTTCCCATTCATTTGCCCTGCTTAGAAACAGAAATGCTAAGAAATATTTGTTTTTTTTAATGAAAAAAAAAAACTCTATGTGATAAACAGAAATATTTTAGCCTTCTTACTATAATAATTACAGTTGTCACTCTACATCCACGTGTATGTCAGCGGCAAACCAGTTTCAATTCAAACCCAGTGATTAACACTGACCGTACTGATTATGATGTTTAGTCACTTACAGCATCAACCGTCACAGGACGTGACAGTTATTTATTAAACATTACATAATGTTTCTGCTAGCTGGTGTGCCTCGGAGTGTATCGGTTTGCAGTGGTTGAAAAGAATTTCTTAGATCAGACAGGACTGCAGTCTGCAGAGTTAGTCTGATCCACCAGGGATCTTAAGATGTGAGAACAAAGTAGGAAGGAGGAGGAACATGAAAGCAAAGACGCGGATAAAGAGATTTCTAATGATGACCCTTTGTAGAGGAAGGTCACGGCACAGGGACATCAGAGGAAGGTGAAGTCAGAGTGGACAGATGTGGAGGTGAAGAGACAGAGTGACAGGTGGACGGAGCCACAACCACAACAACCGGCAGCAGTGGGTGACAACACAAACACAACTACGTACTGTACAGTGTGAGTTATAACACAAAAAATGATTAATAAGGGGATGACGGGAAATGAGGCTGACAGTGTCATGAGGTGAGGCAGATAATTCTCCACCATGGCTTCAATAATTAGACAAGCTGCTATGGTGTGAGGGTCGGATCAAAACAGCAGAGACAGAGACTTGTAATGGACTGTATGTGTGTAGAAGTGGTTAATAAAAAATAAAATCAAGTAACGCCTTGGTAAAAAACATGGAAGAAATAATGAGAGTGGCGTTAGTTATCATATAGCACATTTAACATGAACAGTTCTAACTGCTTTTACTAAACCTTACAGAACTCATGTCAGCTTAGTTCACCTGGCTGAGCTAACCCGCTAATCTAAATTCAGTGACATGTAACCGCAAAACAAAGATCCTTTTATGTCACTTATTACACAAATAATTGCATACCATGTCAAACCTGACTGAATAAAAAATGGTCAAAATGGTGTCAAATCCTGCAATGAGCTCTGTTGGAAAAAATTGTAGTGAATGTGTATAAAAAAAGAGCTGAATATTGATTCACTTGTAATGAATGCGTGATAAGACAAACACAGTGAGCTGCTTCACAGTTTCTCTTTCTTACTGGTCCTCCATCATAAAAAGTCAAACACAGCCTCAGGCATCAGCTCAGAAAAACAAACTACAGTGAAAGAGCTGAATTTGGTTGAAATCATAATAAGGCCCTCTGGGCTCTGCAGCACAGAAAAGCAGAAAAGTAATGGTTTAGCCTGTTTTCATAGAGCAATGGATGGTGGAAAACCTACGTTTTTGTCCCACTGCGTTGGGCACTGTAGGTCCAGTCTGGGGGTCCCGGTACGTCTCCTGGTGGTTGGCAGCATAGCCGGCCAGCGGAGCCCCAGCTAACGTGGAGTCCTCGATCCATTCTGTCGAAGCAACAACTTCTTTAGACTTGGTGCAGACAAGTGCTGACGACTGCACTTGTCCTCAGTCTGGAGGAAACCCAGGCTGAGGACTACCATGATTAACAGTGATTGTAATTAATCACGATTAACCGTGAATGTAATTAATAACAATTAATCATGATTCATTGTAAATGTAATTCATGTATTAGAGCATTTATGTCAGTCTGATTATACAAAATGTTAAAATTGCCAATAACATCCAATGTAGTAATCCTTTGTGTGATATTTCATATTTAATATTTTTAGACAGTGTGAACAAAACATTACACTTTCACTTTTACAACACATCCTGGTAACATTGTGTTGCAGAACCTTGGGTTATCCCTGTGAATTTAAACAGCTGTGTATAGATGGAGAGGAACTCATTTCTTCACCATGACCACCTTCTTTGATTGATCACCCTGTTACAGCACGGCGGTACTGATCACAGTAACCTTCATTAATATTCTTCACAGAGCGGCAGAATCAATGCAGAGGTGAAAATATTGGTAAAAACCCAGCTTGAAGGTATGAGTTTTATTTTAAAGACAGACAGGACTGAAGTCAGCAGGTGGAACTGAAGGGAATTTAACATTTTTCTGCTGGATAAGCAGAAGCTAAGGGTTATGACTGAGTAGGGCTGGGCTGCCTGAGCAATTAATCTCTCTGTGGGGCGTCCTGTACAGGCACGTGGTTTGAGTCAGGAATCAGAAGAATCTTAAAAGCTGCGTTTGTTTGCTTTGTGTAGGATACGACTTTGGTCTAATGTAAGAAGAAACTGTTTTGCATGAAGACATTTCATATTTTTGGTTAGGTTAATAATAAAAGTTTTGTCAATCTGGATTTCAAGTTTGTATTTTATATAAATAAATTGTGTTATTAGAATGAGGATTGACAAGCCACTGTTTAAACCTGTCAGGGTCAAAAAAAAAAAAAAAAACACCCCACAAAAATCATGTTACTGAACTGCATATAAACCATCATCAACTTTTCAGGTAACTACGGTAACGAAGTGTTTTTCATAAGTGACGGACGTCAAGAGTGCACACATACTTTTCTGGTATTTGAACGGAAACACTTTCTTTAAATATTAAGCTGGATGGTATGTCAATCATCAAGAAAAAAAACATGACATGGTGTGAAAAAATGTAAGATGAGTCATAGTTGATCATTCTTAATATTACTGCATAAAGATCGCACTTACCTTTTCCTTTATATTAAAAAATATCTTTGTGTAAAAAAAAAAAAAATAAGGGTTGGTAACAAAACTATTTCAATGTCATATGAATGTAGAAACATAATGCATAGACTTTCAGTCACACACACACGTAAACAGAACAGAAAAGTAGAAAGAAATGATAATGACGCCCTTGGTAGGGGCTGATGAACGAACCTCGGATGTAGCGCTCACCTTCAGGTGGCTGCTGGCTTTGAGGCAGCTGTGGCAGCTGCTGCTGCTCCAACTGCTCCAGCTGCCGGCGCTTCTTCGCCTCCAACACTGGATGCTCGTACTGCGTCTTTCTGTTGATATGACTGCGGTGGAGCAGAACAAAAGAAACAGTGGCGGTGGTGAGGAAATTATTCAAAAGGATGGAGAAAAGGAAGACAAAATCAGACACAGTAGAAGACGGTTATAGATTTCCGCAGTTTCAGGACAGAGAAGGTCATGATACCAAGAAGGACAATATGTTTTTCTATAAAAGGCACATCACCCTTTATCTATGTAAAACATGTCGAGTACACCTAAACCATAAAGAACAAGAATCACAAAGATACCAGCAGTTGCCTTGTCTAAATTGGAAATAAAGTTTGAATCTGATGAGATTATTGTTTGATTTCCAACCTCAGATTTTTTGTATTTGAGGGCTTTGGAAACACTAGCAATAGGCAGAAGACAAGAGGCAGAGCTGGAGGTGGCAGAGTTAAAGATTCTCCTTAGGAGTGACAAGGGTGGACAGGATCAGTAATGAGGTCATTAGAGGGACAACACAGACAGGAAGGTTTGGAGAAAAAGCTAGAAAAGCCAGATTGAGATGGTTTGGACATGTGCAGAGGAGGGACAGTGGATACATTGAAGAATGTTAGAGATGGAGCTACCAGGTAGGAGACAAAGAGGAGATATATGGATGCAGTGAGGGAGGACATGCAGATAGTTGGAGTCAGAGTAGAAGATGCAGAGAACAGGGAGAGATGGAAATCAATGATTCGCTGTGGCAACTCCTGAAAAAAGGGACAAAGCCAAAAGGAAAAGAAGAAAAAGAGATGGCTTTGGAAATATACAGTAGTTGAATTGATACAATTTATAGCCAAGACATTAGTGATGTTGTAAGAAGGGTTAAATAATATAATTGGAAATTTGTTACAATTATTTAAACCTCACTGGGGAGTGTCTTACACTTTGTATGAAATCTAATTTTTTTTTGTGGATTACAGATACGTTTTGGTAAATTACAGATGAATTTACTTGCAGGCAATGAGTAAAAACAGAGTAGCCAAAAGACAAATAATTCAGGTGATGACAGAAATGCCATACTTTATTCTGGGAACTTACTGTGGCTCTTTTTATGTGACATTAAATCTTACATCATCACATTGTTTATGAAGTCCCGCTACCAGACAGGACACATTACTGCCAACAAGTTACATCCACACTTAGTACACCTGAATGTCCCAGTAACATTGAGAAAATAATGGAAATTATAAATAGTAACTGAAAAAAAGTACAGACTGTAAGCGCTGCTCCAAACAGCATCTAAAATGGAAGAAATGTCTTTCACATTAATGTAAAAATGAGAGCCAGGCTGCTCTCCAAGGATGTGAGGTGCATGATCACACCCAGGCACGTTGGTGCATGTATTCTATAATGGTAATGACACTGACAAATATGACCTTCATTTTCCTCACTACAGAAAACCTGAAATTGCAGAACAAATAAAAATTCCCATAACTGTACAAACATTAGAGCAGCTTGCATTTACAGTGTCTCCAACCCTTTTTTTTTCTTATGCTTTTGCTCTTTGTATTTTACATTGCTTTCTATCCTTCTTTCTAATTTCTAACTGCTGTGTGCACAGCATCAGCATGGACAACAGCCTCAGCACAACTTACTCAACATAGTAGACTCCATAGACCGGATCGTCTATTTTCTCCCATCCAGGAGGAAGCTCTAAAAAAACAGAGAGAAAAAGAGAGTGAGCCAGTGCAAATGTGGACAAAACGTCAAAACTGTAAAGTTGCTGGAGGCTAGGGTATTTAGTCTTCACAGGCGGGACCAGTGTAGACCTTTTCCCTCCCTACAGTGTCAGTCAGCCAGCATCGTGGGCAAGGAAAGACTCATGAACTTCACAGGCAGCCAGACTCTGGCCCCTGAGCCTTTACACTGCTGACATTTCAACACATCAGATAAGACTGGCGCAAGATGGCCTTCAGGCTCTGGTGATTGAATGGCTGATGATGGAAGGATGTAGAGATATGACGGAGGGTGGTGGGTGAGATGAAGGGTGAGGTAAGGAAAAGGCAAAAGGGACTGAAATTGGTGAGGAAAATGAAGAGAAGAGATGAACAAGAGGAAACAGCCATCTGTTCAAACAGAACTAGAAATTCACTGGAGCTGTCAAATAATTACAATTTCTAATCTGATTAATCACAGAGCAGCTGTGAATTAATCACGATTAATCATGACTAATCATGATTATAGTTAATCAGGATTAATCATAATTATTGTAGATAAATAATCGTTCCTAACATTGCTGGAACAGAAACACATATAATAACACTTCGCGCTCTTGATTTGTAATACTGAACAGAATTGATGTTATCGGCAAAATGTGTTAAAATGTATTTTTCTTATTTTAAACAAAGAGGAATGAGGATTGTCAAATACAGATTAGGGTTTGTATGGTAAACTGTAACAGCTTGACCAAGCGAAACAAAATAGCCAGTTATTTTTCTACATGTAACATAAATACACCACCTAACGATACAGTCAAACCTCCATCACTTGAACTTTACTGTGAGGTGAAACCACAACGCACACACATCAAATTAGCATACAGATGTAAGCGTCAAAACGTAAATGGAAAATACTTCCTCGCAGGCTTGTGATTCATTTTATTCACTCATTTGATTTCACACTGCACCTGTTTCGCTGTTTCTTCCTGTGTTTGTACGAGTGACAAGAGAAGATGTGTGTTACAACGGTGTTTGTGTGTTTTATTGTATCGCACACGTGCATGTATTTCAGGGTGTGGTGATGAAAGATGAAGAAACACAGAGACGTGAAGAGAGAAAGAAATTATGCAACGACTCCTTCTCTCCCCTCTCTCTCGTCCTCCCCCGTTCTCCTTCATCCAACTAGAACAACATGCTGTGAATTCAGGGGGAGCATGATGAATTACATGTTCAACTGTTTGTGTCTCGTTCTCCGGATACAGTGCGGTGATTGATTTCTCTCGAGTAAGCTAGTGATTCAGAGGATGGTGCCTGGCTGGGTTCTGGTGTGTGCTGCAGTTCATAAAAAATGCCCCAGTTGGCTCCTCCCCCTCTTTCTTCTTCTCTAAGGCCCAGAGTTAATTGCATTTTTCAGCCCACTTGTATTGGACTTTGCTGATCAATAATTATTGTAGATTCAAGAGGGGAGACAGGGGACTGTCATCTGTTCTGATGATGGTTACACAGCAGCTGTTGAAAATTCTCAAACTCCCAAACTCTGACAGATGCCACGTTAACAGTGTTTGTGCATCTTTTCTTTCCTGTCTTTTTAATTGTTTGCAGTAAACATCTGGCTGCAGGAGCTGAGCAGTACTTCTGTGCACATGACATCTTCAACTTCCATGAGGAAATTGTATATTTTGGAAAAATAAATTATATATCAAGTATAGAGTTGACTTTCAGGTTCTAAACAAGTTTTTGATTATTTATTTAGCTTCACTTTATCTTAGGTTTTAGGTTTATTTTCAGACAGTTGTAAATACAACAACAAAAATACAAAAGTTTATTGGGCAACTTACCAACATCATTGTCCAGCTCCTCAGTATGTACCCCTTCTGTTTTGGACAATAAAAAGAGGAGAGAGAGAGGAGGACAAGGGGTAAGGAGGGAGAGGGGGATATTTAAAGAAAGATAGACAGAGAGAGAGATGAGAGTGTTCGTTAGAAATGTTACGGATTAATCAGTTGGGTGTGATACCAACATTTAGCCACTGGGTGGCAAGAGTTTATCATACCACAGATTCAACCTTATTTAGATGACAGTTAACGTCTACAAAGCATGCTCACAGCAAATGGTTAAGTGTTAGGGTGTTGGTCTCTGTGTGTCTGTGATATAGCTGTATTTGTGGAGACAATGTTTGAGGAACAGACTATTGTTGTGATGACACATTGTCCTTTTTGGGACATTTTGCACTTGCCTTTTAGACATTAGAGTGTAAAGTGAGAGGTTATTTAAATGTAAATAAAGATTTAAAAACCAAACATGCGTTTAATCTAAAAATGACATCATTTTCCCAGAGGCAAGCAGAGTAAAACAGAGGCATCATCTGATACACATTTAATGTGACTCAACAGCAGCACCTATGGGCCGCTTGGTGAAATACTATTTCGTAGTCACGGTTTGTAAACAGAAATAGAAAGACCATTGATATATTGGCACATTAACATGAACATAACGTGTACGACGACATGTTACATGGTATGCAATATTATGACATAGTGTATAACAGTAAATGTAACAACCAAGAAGCATACAGGCTCTGGAGTGAACATACCATCATCTTCACATTCTTCCAGGGGTTTCTGAGGCTTGTCCAGGCACCGAGGGTCTATCCAGGAGGTGGTTTTTGTATTGTGGCTGAAAATATGCATGAGAACAAAAGTTATTCAGTGCATTTCAAATTAGATTTACATGTATTTGTCTTGAGAAATTAAAAAAAAAAGGTTTTAGACTGAAAGCCTTTGAATAATAATAAAATCATTAGCGTTAAAATGTTAAGACAGTAAGTATTCATACAACAGCTTCCAGGTACTTACTCTATAAAGTAGACCTCCCCGGCCTCGGTGTAGGCCATCTCCCAGTTGTCAGGCAGAGGTCCCAGTGGGTCCTCTGAGGGAGGATGGCTAAGGTGAGAGTGTGACTGCTGTGTGCTCTCCGTGGTGGCCGTTGGTGAGGGGGTCGTCCCAGAGTAGGTTGGGGCAAAGGGGCGTACTGAGTGATGAATCTCGTCTATTTCGCTGGAGTCTCCTGGGCACAGGGGAACAAACACATGGCTCGGTGTTAAGAACATTTTGCATAAAGGTGAGACCTTTATTTAGAAAAAGAAAAAAGCTGTGATTAAGGGCTGGGAGAAGAAGAATCAGCACATTGAGGTGATCGGACAAAAGACTAAAAAGACTATGAGGATTCAAATATGTGGAAAAGTTGGAACAGAGGAAAAGACACAATAAAAAAGTCAATAAACAACGCTGAGGGCAGGTTAATTATGTGGCAGGCATCAATTTCTTAGAAAGTTCATATATTGAAAGTAATTTAACTTCTGAAACCATTTCATTTTTCCTTCTTGCACTGCACTGTTTTAACTGCACTGCCAAACCACAGATTTGACATTTTACCGCATTAAAATAACTTTTATGGTAAATGGATTTAAAAATGGCTTTTGACAGAAAATGGTGTTCAAATCAAAATTGAATTCGGGTCATGACAGTCTGAGTAAACACAAGACCAATCCAGCTGCCAGGCTGACATTCTGTTATTTGTTATTTAAGGTTCTTGAGGTCTAGGCTTAGATTTTAGCACAAGATTGAAGAATAATAACAGTCAGCAGAAAAAAAAGCAGTGAAAGAAAAGAAAAGTAAGAATAATAACAGTCAGCAGAAAAAAAGGAAAGAAAAAATACAGGAGAGATAGTGTCGGTGAATGACTTAAATACTCAGGATCAACCCCCCAAAACAAGAGACTGGGTAAAACATGAGGGTGTAGTGAGGGTAAAATGCAAAAATACCAGTACCAATAAACCATATATTTAAGAACTGACTAACATTTAGAGATAGTTTAGTTTGAGGAAAATAAAAACAAAAGCACTTAATTGACTGAACGTTTAATATTAAAGTAAACTTTGCATTATCTCATTAATTCATGCTAAACAAATGTAATTTTACCTTTTCTGATTTAGTGAGAGTTAAAGAAATAAGCTTTCACCACAGTCAAGCATGTGGCAGAAATTCTCTTACCTAAATAGAGACTGGGATTTTCACAGTTGGTTTCCAAAAGCATCAACAACTAATCATCTGTTTGTTTTAGTTACAGCCATTCACACCTACAGCCTCGACCTGTGAGGTGCGACCACGGATAACTTCCTTTTCACACCTTCACGTCTCTAACAGTCACAGACGGCAAATAAACAACTTTTGGTTCTGACCAAAGAGGACAAAGCTTTAGGGCTGAGGCAACCTCCTTCCAATGCCTACTGACCTACTAACACACAAGAGAAATGTGCAAAAACACAACAGCAATGGAGTCCCTTCAATAAAATGACAATAACAGAGCCTCTGAATAAAAGGACAACTCATCACTAAGGACAACAAATAATCTTTACAATACAACAAAGCAAAACCAAATACAAAACAAACAACTTCCAAAAAGGAGCTGTCTCTGCCACTGGCAGCCAGATGGCACCATTCTCCACTTCTAGACACATAGATACAGACAGATGTAGTCGAACCCAGATACCACTTACTCACCAATCAAAGAAGCTCTTGTGTTGTGCAGCCTCTCACCTCCCTCAAGTACTCCATTCACCTCCTCCTTTGTGCTCTTTCTTCTATTTCTTATTCTTCAAAATTCAGAAAACCTCCTTTTCCTGCTCTCATTCGCCGTCTTTCAAATCTTTTCAGTGCCGTCCGCCTCACCCCCACTGCGAGGGACAGAAACTCCCCCCTTTCCTCTTCAATTTCCTGCCTGCTTGTCTCCACTTCCATTCCCTCCCACTTCATCCATCTCCTCTCACGTTCTCCCTTTTAGCCTGTGTCCATTCCACACAGGGCTGTAGACATCATGTCTCAGACTGGAGTTGTACTCTGAGCAAAATAAACACACTGCTCCCTGCTGAAGACGCCTGCGCTCTGGCTGACTCTAGGTCAGCCTTTCTCAGTGAGCGTCTGTACCAGCTGAGGAAGCATGTGAGTCGTGACGTAAGGCTCTCAGTAGAGTCGACACACCTCGAGAGCAAATGGGAAAATAAACAACCAGTCACATCACTGCTGCCATGTTTTCACAGGTCTCCACCACAACAATTCTTATTGTGGTCCTGGTAATACTGAAGATGAAGCTGTAACTGAATCACAGTTTTGCTCTAAAACAGCTACAGCAGCAATTAAATAAATTAATAATTATAATAATGAATTTAATGTAATACATTTGTACATGGACCAGAATTGGTAATTAGACATCACCGTTAAACACACATGGAATTTGACTTGATATACAGTACTAGTCAATTAAAATGGGATAAGATAAAGAAAAACCTAAACCTAAAAGATATTGTTACATTAACAATAATTAAGAAATTATCTTAAAAATAGACCACAGCAAAATATTCTAAAGTGAGATATAAACAGTATGTTCATCTGCAGAAATGATATCTTCATCTGCTTTTTCTGTATTTCCTTTTATGACGTGAGTGCTGCTGCACTGATTTACCAATGGAATTAGAGCCAGCAGGTGGCAGAGTTAGTATTATTAGCATTAGTATAGTATTATTAAAACCTACTATTGTCACTTAGTAAATTTATCTCAATCTAAAGCATTTTTGCATCATTGAACATTTTATCAATCTAAAGCATTTTTGCATCATTGACCTACTGAATTTAATGAATGGATGTAGGAGGTTTTTGTTATTATTTGAATATTTACACATGTTTTAATTAAACTTTATTTATTAAGTGAGGGTGTAACAAATATTTACACATGTTTTAATTAAACTTTTTTATTAAGTGAGGGTGTAACTGCATTTGGAGATGTACAGCTCAACAGTGCAGTGGATGCTCTGGGCTGCAGTGCACAGACGAGTGAAGAATCAATTTGGAAATGTTTTGGGTTTTTCCTTTTTTTTTTTTTTTTTTCCCCCAGTTTTACAGGTTTTTAAGGTTTCAAGTCCAAGAAAACAAGTTCCCATCACTTAGATGGTACTCTGCAGTTAAACATCTTAGGTTGTTTTGGTCAAGTGTTCATTTACTTCATTCATTATTCATTCATTATTTGATGCTTATTTTGGGACACAGTCAGTAGGATTGGACGGTCCAGTAGCCGCGGACTACCAGTTGATGATCACTGCTGTACATTAAAAACAAACTACAGGTGTCACTGTTTCCCATTACAGCACACACTGATTTAGTATCATGGTGGGTTAACCTTCCAGAACCAAAGGTGTTTGGCTTTTCTGGTTCTTATTCAACTTTGCCTTTGTCACAATAGTAACATTAAAGGAGTACTGTTGATAGCTTTGATGTGAACTTTTCTAGAGAGAAGATTCCTATATTTACAACCTGTGCCTTCGTCACAGTCCTCCTGTCGCCGCCCCTGCCCTGTGTACATACCTGTATAGCTACTGTTCATGTCAGGGAGGTCCTCGTCGTCCTCCTGCTGCTGCTGCTCTCCAGGCACTAATCCAGCATTGCGCATGTCATTGTAGGACTTGGAGCGTCGCGGAGTGGAGTGCTGTGAGCCCGGCAGGCTACCACTGAGCCCGTCTGGCAGTGGAGCATCACCGCTGCTACCACTGCTGCCAATCACTTTCCCACTGGGGGGCTGAACTGGAGGCTTGGGTGTCCCATAATAGTTACCTAGGCAGCAAGAAAAAAAAATCAATACAGGAATGAGATGGTTAAAAAGATAAGATCATTTCAGGAGATGGCCAAGAGAGGAAGGGGTCAATGGGTTTTGCGGGTTCTTTCTAGATGTCTGTGAATAAAAAGCACTACATTTTAAAAATTAAATAAAAAACAACAGCAGATCACAGATGCCACTGAACACTGGACAATAGTTTGTAGCTATGAGCACTTTGAACTGCTCAAACACAGAGGCAGTAGAGAATGTAGCCTGTTCTCTATCTTTCTCTGTTTTTAGTGGTGTTTGGCAGACAGCACGTCTCTGCAAGAAACATATCGCTTCTCAAACTCTCACTGCTCTGACCTTTAATTTTCTGTCATAATGACTGGAAGCCAGTCAGCTGGTTGGTACAGCATGTATTAAACACAGAAATGAACACAAGGAATTAGAAAATCTGCCAGGAACAGTTTGTATGTTTCCAACTTAGAGAACTGGAACAAAATATATGGGACTGGTTTTCAAAACAATTAATTTAGCTCAGGCCTGTTCAAGTGGTTGGACTATTAGGAAGTCAAGTGCACATCTTTGTTTGACTCCTGGATATTTAATGTATCAGTAAACATTTTCCATTTTTGGAAAACGGAAATTTTACAAGCTAAATGTTCCAAATGTTTTCCCATTATTAATTATGATCATTTTCAGAAACCCAGCAGAAGGGTTGGAAGATGTGATTATTTGAAGGAGATCCTGGAACTATACTACAGAACTGGTCTATTCATGTGTGGCCCTCATGCTACATGTACAGTAACATGTATAACGTCAAATAATCAGTTTAACCAACACTGGGTTTATTGGGGTAAATGCATTTTTTAAATGTTTTTAGTTGGTAATTTTTCAATACATTAACATGTAGTTGCCTGCTGTTCATTGGTAACCAAAAAAATCTGGCCCAAGTAAAGAGCTCTGAGGTAGAGTTTGCATTATTGCTGAGAGTCTGCTTCTTACACAGGGGCAAAGCAGCAGGACATTGTTTGTTTCACACTCAGCAGGATAAAAATATCCAGGTGAAGGTGGCATCTGGATGAGGTTTGCAGGAGGCAGGACTTTTGGTCCATTTCCATTTTTACCACATCGCAATTCCCTCCGGTATTTGTTTCCTAAAATTTACTGAATAATTACTATGTCTGAGTCATGCCCTAGTGGTTGGTCATGTGTCCTGAACAAAGATGGGATTTTTAATATATATATATATATTTTAATTTGTTTTATGTCACACATGCTCCTAATTGTGGTTGTGTGTAAATGTGTTATTATTTGTGAAATTTCTAATAGTTTGGCTCTAAAACCTGAAGTCAGATGATGTTTTCAAACCTGAAAACACAGATCTGAGAATGTTCTTTTTTTCATTTATGAGTAGAAAACCACATTTGTATTTACCTTCATATGTTCCTATTTCCAAAAGAGTTCCACTTTTTTGCAATTCCAGGAATTCCTCCACTGAGAGGAAGTTGTAGTCCACACCACTTACTTCTCCTTCTCGTGGGGTACGGGTTGTACCTGGACATAAAGATAAGAAAAAGGTGTAAGACTATTTACTGCAGTCATTGGAATACTTCAAGACTTGCCATTTTCAGACTTAAATATATCAGTACTGACACACCTACTACCTCACTGTGCTGTTTTCTCATCTAGACCCTTATTAAGGTGTAAGACTATTTACTGCAGTCATTGCGAACTGCAGTATGATGAAGCAAACATGCTTCATCATCATCATCACTCACTCACAGTACAAAGCAAAGACAACAGGGGAAAAAAACCAAAACTATATCAGTAAAAATACTCTTGATTGACGTTATGCACAGGAACAGGGATTGTGAGATTCTTGACCAAACAAAAAAAAACTTGTATCTTGTATCTAAAGAGATATGTTCAAGTCGAACTATGAAGTCTACTAAAAACAGCAAAAAAATGTCACTTGTGTCATATATGAAAGTGAATGGTAAGATGTTGTCTATGTGAGAGAAAAAGAAAGATCACTGTATCCACACCCAATTAAAAAGAAATCTGTGGATACGAGAAAATGCAGTAGAACTGATAGAAGTTAAGACCATGAAGTGAATTAAGTGAGAAACTGAGAGATGGATGAAAATCTGATCAAATTATGACACAATTAATATTCCCGACCTTATTTTCCTAACACAATGGGAACTGATTCTAAGCGTCCTTATTCATTTCCATGACATTTATTCAAGTGTATGTTTTTTTTTCTTGCTACATTTCTGATGTACTTTGAAGGATGTTGTTAAGATTTTTTTTTTATATTCCTCTTAAATTTGACAAATTTCCATAGTCTGTAGGTGGTTTAGGAGTTGGAGGATACATTGTTTGTGTTGTTGCTGTGATCTTTCTTCACACTGGGGTGAAGTGTGAGGTTTCCTGGTAGTAGCACTTCAGAGGGAACCCACCATATGTTTGCCGTGAAGGAGGGTGGTGGAGTGTGTGTGTGTTTGGCACAAAGCTGGTGAGATTCAAGCATTTGTCTTTAATGGCTGCTGACAGTTGGCCAGTGTGGCGACAATGGTAAAACAGCACGACTGTGAAGACAATGGTAGGACGACAACACTGCAGAGTGAGGGGAAACTCCCAAACTCTTCTCAACAGCACATTAGTTTCAGGCTGACTTACTTTTCTGCTTTTATCTTTCAATGTCCCTATGGTACTTTTTTTTTGTAGGCCTGTTTAGCCACAACAGTGTGGTTTTTCTTCTCTGTGGCGTTCACCAATCTTTTCATCTACCTGTCTTATCTCCATTGATGTGGTACGAAAAAAGCTGGTAGAAATAGATGTAGGGAGACTGGGAGAATGTGTGAGAGAGAATCCCACTGCAGTTACAGCACGTGTAGTGACACTGGTGATAAATCACAGGCGAGAGGAGCTTACTCAAGCAAGCATATATTACATACTCAGAAGAATTCAGTTCATGTGGGGTGGCACATCTCATACACACTCTGGCTAAACCTGTAACATCCTTAGAATTTGTATTCCTGCATGAGTTTCATCCCATAGACATTGTCAGTCGAGCTGTCAACCTTGGAAGTTTGGGTTTAGAAATACTAACAGATTCCAAATAAGAGTTTCTGGAGTTCTCCAAGAGCCAAATTGTCCCACTTTTCAATTGTAGCATCGCAAACCAACAATCATTGCCTTCTTTTCCGAAAAGACAAATATGCTGCTATACAGCCTGGCCTAAAAGTGAAAGAATTTTTGTTTGTATTTTTTTTTCAACTTGGACACATGTATAAACCTTTCAGTTTAGCCTTTGCATTTAAATTAGTTGCAAGTAACCAGCTGTTGCATCATGCAAGACGGAACCTCTTTGGTATATTCTGCAGTCTTCTGTACTGCCGGAGCATCTGCCTCCTAAACACACACTGCACTGAACTGAACACTGAGTAAAAACATGAAGA